TATAATTCTGACATAGTAAAGGGTAGCATATAAATATTTAAAATAAATATATATATATATAAAGTTTTTACTCTTTATAAAATTTAGCCATTAGCTTTTGGAACTCAACACACATGCCCAGGCAATGACTATCAGTATGTTTTGAAGTGATCGGATAAATTCTTTGAGGATAGAAGTATCAATGACTATAGACTATGGTATTCAAAAACAGAACCACGTACATAGTGCAGCTTACTAGGCAGCAAGACAAGAAAGGGTGATACATGTGCTCCTTGCTTGAGCATAAATCACCCAAAAAAGTTCCTCTGATGGAAACCTACAAGTATATAGGGGAGAAAACACTTTGGAATGGCTGGGTTTCTAGTTATTTGTAAAACACAAGAAAGGATGGGGTCGAGCATCCCTATAGCATAATTTTTCATGGTGTATGACTACCTATTCCAGACCTTGAGTACTTCTTAAGTTGGGAGCTCTCAAAGACCCTCTCTAGATGTTCCTACCAGGCAAGCAGATTTAGTTTCAACAAAGAACCTTCCCTGATAGGTTCTCCAGATAGGAGATTCAAGGACTTAGTAAACTGTTCTGTACAATTAATCTAGCTAAGGTTAATTGAATTATCCAAATTAATGGATCACAAGTTATATAATCTAGTTTTTATCATATCTATAAATCTTTTATTTACTGTAGGTGATAAAACAATACCAGGGTCATCAATTGCTCCTTGTATTGTCATGTCATGTTCTTTGAAAGCTTTGCAACACTTTGAAGTTTTTTAGAGAAAGTATTCAGAGGAGAAGGGAGAAGGAAGCTTATAACAGAAAGATATAGGTGTTACATTTAATTATCACTGAGAGCTTATAGATGAAAACAATGTATTTTTGTTATTAAGAAAAAAAAATATGAACAGATCAAGAGTCCTCTTAGATTATCTGAGAATGTGGTGATGAAGACATAACATCTTCCTGTCCAATTTTACTTTGTATAAAGGGGTCATTTAAATTTGAGCTGTTTCCTTTCAGGTAACAGACAATTAAATGTTTCCCAGTACAATTAAAAATATGTGTTTGTAAAAGGCAGACAACAGTGATGACAGCAGGAGGGAAAAAAATCCTTGGTAATTTTTACCACCTGTCTCCCATCCCATAGTACTTCCTTTTTCCAGCTTCAAATTCCATTATTCTTCCTCTGTATGCCTCCACTCAAAGCCCAGTGGTAGGCTATTTATAAAATGAATATTTATCATGATAAAGCAGTACTTCTGTTTGGCAAGCCTACAGGTGAGCAAAGTAGCTTGATATATTTTTCCAATTGCTTTTCTAATCTCTTTAAATCTTTGAAACTTTAAAAGTACCTAGTTAACTTAAAGAGCTCTAGGGAAAGTCTAAATAAAGAGTCTAACTGGAAGGGAAATAAAAGTGGACAACAAGCCAAATATGCTTGTTTTTTTCACTGGATCAGATTAATTTCTACCTCTTCTACTTCAAAGGCTCTGACAAGACTGAGGATATGGTGGCAATTAAGGAAGAGCAGGCTAGGGCTGCCTGTTTGATGCATAGCAGCAGTTTGCTCAGACTGAGCAGATAGAATAGAATAGAATAGAATAGAATAGAATAGAATAGAATAGAATAGAATAGAATAGAATAGAATAGAATAGAATAGAATAGAATAGAATTATAGGATTTCTCTTATGACCCTTTGAGACAAAGCATGAGCTGGGCCTGTCCAGCAGGGTGGGAAGCATTTCTGCTTGTCTGTAGCTGCTTTTCCCAAATGTAGACAGCAACCCCAACTTCATTCCTTCACATGCATTCACCAACCAATTGGTTATGTTTGGGTCCATCTTATCCTATAATTTAATTCTGTTCTGGCTGCCCAGTCTGAGCAAACTGCTGCTATTTCCTGACAGTGGAACAACTTCCCTTCAGAAATTGTGGGTGCTCCAACTCTGAAGGTTTTAAAGAAGAAATTGGACAACCACTTGTCTGGAATAGTATAGGGTTTCCTGCTTGAGCAGGAGGTTGGACTAGAACACCTCCAAGGTCTCTTCCAACGCTCTTATTCTATTAAATAAGCAACGTTAGCCTACTCATCCTTATTTGCCACTACACCCTCAATCATGCCATACTGCAGTCACTCTCAAATAGAAGAGTTTATAGCCCCAGAACTATTCATTTATTCCCCCATTCACACATTTCCAAGCATCCACACACCAGCGTTCCAGGTGTTTGCCTAATTGAGTCATATCCTGCCATTTTTAGGAACCTATATTGACATAAGCAGCCTCACCTCACCCAGGGCCTTAGCCTAGAAAAGTGTGGGTGTGTAGGACGGAAGGATAAGAAGACAACCAGCAGGCAAGGAAGTGGGAAAGTACAACTATTACAAGTAAGCAAGAGGATTATCAGTCAACTACTAGAACCACAAGCTATGGTAAGCAGCCCATTGGGGTGTAATTCCTACCTGCAGTTTGACCCAAGCTCAGTAACAACCAGGGCTTTTTTTGTCATAAAATGCCCAGAACGGAGTTCCGGCACCTTTTTGGGATGGAAACTTGTAGGGTAGGCAAGGTGGATTGTATGACATTCGTTCCGGCACCTTTTGTTTTTAACAAAAAAAGCACTGGTAACAACTAAGGGACAATCACCCCGAAGCAGCACATAATTCCAACATATGAAAGAACTTTTGGAAGGAGGCAAAGATTGTATGCCATTTTACACAATTTAAGACTTTTTTATATAAGATTTAACCATAAAAAACTTACATGCCTGTGTTAACTTGCAAAGCTAGATAAGCAGAGTTAACCCCAGGCAAAAGCCTAATGTTAGGAAAGGTGTGTCTTCTACTGCTTTGATGATATTCCTGAATATGACATATCACTGCATGGGATCCCCAAAGTAGCCTCTGAAAGTTACCATGAAGTTTTGATAGTTATCCATAATAGAATTGCTGCATTTGATTATGAGAAGTACCCATCACAGCACAATGCAAGGCTGTTGGGAAACTCGATATGAAGAAGATCCATCAATTGGTTAATGAATTCTGGCCAGGTGCCAATAAACAACTCACACTGTGCTATAGCAATAGCACTTACACTTGTATACCCCTCTTTATATACCACCCAGCACTGTCTGGGCAATTTACAACATCAGCATGTTACCCCCAACAATCTGGGTCCCCATTTTACTGACTTTGGAAGGATGAAAGGCTAAGTCAATCTTGAGCCCTGTCAGGATCAAACTCCAGGCTGTGAGCAGACTTAGCCTCCAGTACTGCATTCTAACACTGCGCCACCAAGGCTATGAAGATTCTAATCTTTTCGATGTTCCTACAAACCTTTCAGGCCAATAGCTGTGAGTTCTCTGCAGTACAGGCAATGTTGCCATAGTGGGAACTGGAACCAACAGAGGCATAGGAGGCAAATTCTGCATTTGCTGGACCAACTGGAGCATCATAGCTGACATATTTTGCATCTTAGCACCGCAGAACAACCTCCATCATCATATTGTCAACTGCTGCTCCAGGTTGCAGGTCTGATGCCATCCTAGGAGATTTTTCATTGTGTTCCAATGAAAAGTTTTGAGGTGAGCTCAAAGAATCAAGACCACACATTAAGTTTCAGTTAAGAAGATATATTGCTCATGCCTATACTTAAGAATCTAGTCAACTAATGGTCAGCAGTAAGTTGGTGCTAGATAAGAATCAACAGAAATCAAGGGGACCCGAATTTGAATTGCCTGTGGGAACATAACAACTCCAGATTGATGCCTCTCTTGATTTGGCTCCCAGGCACTGCCTCTTCTTCTCCTACAGTTGAGGACTACAATAATGTATGGTGTACAGTTATCTTCTACACTGTGATGTGTCCTATCCTTGGAAAACAACCGTCACAATGCAGTATTAACATCCAATTATCTAAATTGTTACTAACACAGCATAAAAGAGGGTAGTTAACAGATCTTGCATGATGAAGCCGATTAAAGATTTAACATCCTAGGTATGCTACAGCATTCTCCTTCCTGTAGACCAGCGATTCTCAACCTGTGGGTCGCGACCCTTTTGGGAGTCGAATGATGCTTTCACAGGGGTTGCCTAAGACCATCAGAAAATACATATTTCCGATGGTCTTAGAAACCGAGACACCGCTCCTCTATCCGGCCGCCACCACCCTCCTCCGCCGGCTCCTCTGCCTCCAGGGTGCCCTTCTCCTCCAACAGCACCTGCTCCTGCCAACAGAAAATTCCAAAATTGCCTTTTATCACCTTTTATCAGCTTGGAGTTGTTATGTTAGTAACACAGTTAATTAAGTGAATCTGCCTTCCCCATTGACTTTGCTTGTCAGAAGGTCACAAAAGATGATCACATAAACCAGGAACACTGCAACCGTCATAAATATGAGTCAGTTGCCAAATCGCTGGATTTTGCTCATGTCACCATGGGATTGCAGCAACAGTCATAAGTGTGAACAATGTTCATAAGTCACTTTGTCAGTGCCATTGTAACTTCGAACAGTTGTTAAATGAACTCTTGTATATCGAGGACTGTCTGTATTGAATACCAGAAAATACCAGAACTACCTTATTGGGCACTAGAAAATGAAGGAGTTTTTATTCTTTTAAAAAAAAAGAATTCCCTGGCAGCAAGCAGAAGCCGCATACACTAACCACTGATTTTTTTAAAGGATTTTTTTTAAAAAAAAAACCAGGTACAAAGAATAGGCTAGGTCAGGAGTGGGGAACCTTGGCTCTTTTATGACTTGTAGACTTCAACTCCCAGAATTCCTGAGCTGAGCCATGCTGGCTCAGAAATTCTGGGAGTACCGTAGCAGCTAAGTAGTGTAGCAGCTAAGAAATGACAAAGAGTACCAGTATGCCAACTCTGCAAGAAAGGCACAAGCCATAAACATGTCTGTCAAGGGAATTCTTTGGAGTAAACATGGAGATTTGTATTTGTGAAGTTAGACAGACAGGTGTCAATGGTTCCAACAGATGAAAACAGGAAGATGAGTGCTTAGTGGCTTTAATTTAATTCAACTATATCAATTACTACAGTCTACATTAAGTGCATGCACAAATGGTAATTTTCCTGCACAATTTTTCAGATTCACAGAATTAAATTGTCATGTACTAGGCCTAATAAATATTTATGCTATGTGAATATTTTTTCAGCTATGGATCATCAGTTTCATACTTGTACAATCACAACCAGTATAGAAAAAGTGAAAACAAAAGAAATCAAAACAAACTCCAGTGCTGCTTGTGTTGCTGCTACTGTAATTCTTATACCATAAGAACTGAGAAATTAAGCTCAAGCACAAAACCAGAAATGTAAATATGTTGAGAGCTTGAAAAGTTTTACATAAACTGCAAGGAAGACAAACCAAATGGACTATGTGTTGAATGTGAGAAGGATTAGATAACAATATGAATCTTGCAAAATTTTGAAGATATTTGAACACCAAACATTAAAATCTGAAATTAAGTCCTGTGTATTTCAAATGAAAATGTGCAGAATTCCAAATAAAAAGCACTTCATACATTTTTGTCTATCAAAAAATGCCAAATTTCTTATTTAATCATTCATCACATAGCAAAAGCAATAGCATCACACTATTGCAGAAAAGTTGGTTAAACAATAGTTAGCCTGGCAGAATGCATGATTAATCAAAACATTTCATAAAATCCTTGAAGCTCTTTGCTAATAGCTTCAAGGATATGTCACATTTTCTAAAAAGAAATAAAACAAATTAAAAGAGTACTACAGGTTTCTCCATTCAAGTGGATGAATCCACTAATGTTTTCAGGTTTATTAATCTTTCTCGTGTTGTGCTTGTTCTGAGTGATCTGTGGAAGCTATGCCTATTTGCAAACCTTTTCCTATCTGAACTAAAGGAAATGAAATGATTTATTTTACATTTATAGGGGGAAAAACTACACAAAATATCTTTGCATTTGTATTGCAATATATGCAATGATGGCGCAACAGTTATAGTCAGAATAATATCAGGTAATGGGGCCCACATGAAAAATACAGCTCCACCTATTAAGCATAATCATTGCTGCCTTGTCATTTATTTGTAATACAGGCCAACAGAACTCAAGACCGTAACCAACAAGGCAGTAAAATCATAGATCTTATAAAAGCAAGACCACTCAGCTCCGATATTTACTGTGTTGTGTGAAAGAGAATCTAGAGAACACATTGCTACTGCATAATGAAGTGAGATGACTGTGGCAAATATTGGTTTCATTTTATAAACAATAAGAAGATATATTTCTTTTTTACAGGAACATTCTTTTGAACTAGCACAGAAACTAAGTGGCAATTGTTGGATGCAAAAGATTGCATACTTGGCTGATATATTTACTTATCTGAATGATACTAGTGTTTCACTGCAAGGTACACATATAATTAGATTCAAATGTCAAAGTAAAATGAATGCAATTCATTTAAATGTACACACTGAAGTGAGTGTATTTCTAAAATAATTCCAAGTGCTTTCCAAATCTTCCAAACAAAATTTCCCTCAGGGAAAATGTCAAAACCTTGGTGATACAAAGCCTATCTGATTTATGTTTCACAGTAAGGGCATATTTTCCCCTTTAAAAGAAAAAAAATGATCAGGTCCAGAATCATTATGTTGACTATATTGCATCTGAATTACCATTAAAGAAGAAACAACATAGGTCCAGTTTAACTAATTTCACATTATAACCCACATTTCATTGTGCAGATTTTCTGGCTAGAGCTTCTAAAAAAATATTGCCAGTCAAGATTGAAATAACTTATGCCATTTGCAATACATATTTTTGTAAGAGAACCTTATTTTCGTAAGCAGCAAGTACAGTAATAGGCTAAGTATAAAAGATGATCTCTGCTTACAAATAGCATCAATTGTTCCAAATACTGAACTTTTCCCCAAGGAAATGCAATTACACCTAATAATTGAATATTGATCTGTTTGGTTAAAACATTAATATCCCAAGTTAATTGTGAAATTAAAGTTTTATTTTTTGCACATTCAAAATGTTAATTTTGCATTTACAATAATCAGTTTACTTTTTGAATTACTGCCAATTTCTATCATTAGAATATCATTATCTGTTTCAGCCTGGGCACTAGAACCATCCTCTACTCCTCCTCCAGAGTGTCACAATGTTCTCTGCTTTACAGCTGAACCAAAAGGATTCAATTACCCCATAAAACTAGTTAATGCTCAATAAGATTAGGACTCAACATAAATGGGGAAAGCTCTCTTCTTTGGAATGGAGCTGTGGGGCTCCAAAGCAGTGGAACAGCGCCCTCTCAGCATACATCAGGGAAACCAATAAAGAATGTGTAGCTCAAATGAAGGGTGGTTGGTGCGCTCTGAGTTTGGTTGTTTTCTTGCAGACATTTCATTACCCAAACTAGGAAACATCATCAGTGCTATTACCTAATTTGGGTAATGAAACGTCTGCAAGAAAATGAACAAGCTGTTGAGCACCAAGCATCAGGGAAACCCCAGAAACTTTCTGTATGCAACTCCATCATGTATTGACTATAAAACAGTTTACCTTTGAATTTGTAAAGAGGGTAAATAGTTTTATATTTGCTCATTGAGAATGTAATTTTGATATGCTTTTTAACGTTTTTGCCATGCACTAAATAAATACATCTATCATTAGTACATTTCCTCTTGGTCTAGGATTCCAGGATTTTTTCTTTTAACTAAGTTTTCACAATCTGAAAAGTTTGACAGCTTCTGAAGTGCAACATTATTAAGTACACTGTGAATTTTCCAAAACTTGCAAAAAGTTGAGGTAATGAGATTGATCTAGAATCATTCCAAAGTGGCATTACTTGAATTTTATATACAGAGTGATGAAGTGTTCTATCAAGAGAATTAAATCAGTAACTTTTATGTAAGAAATGTGAATCAAGGACCAACCATTATTATTTATGATTGTACACTATTAGAGTACTTTTCTGGATATAATGACTAAAATAGATCAGTTCACTCTTAAAAGAACAAATACACTACTTTTTAAAAGTTCTCGTTTTCTTTTTCTTCATCCCTCCCTCAGCAGCCTTATACTTGACCCAGAGAATTGTAGATCCTCTTGAGCCCTAAGAGAAGATTGTATGTAGCTTTAGTAGGAAAGCAGAAATCATGAGATACTGGACAGAGCAATCTTACATTTTAGATTGAAAGACTATTAGTTTATAAAAGTAGATAGTATTCTCCTTTCCATATAAACAGACTTGTATTTTGGGGTTTTAAAAGCTTGTGTAATCTTTCCTACTCTTTTGGGGTACTACTAGTTCCCTTATCTACTCTCAATTGTGATTTCTTAGATGAGGGATTCGGAATTATAGCTACATTACAACTAAAAGGCATGCAGGAAGTGCTGTCACTCTACAAAATAACTCCACAGATTTCAGGCTAGCCCAGTTGCTGGTTTTGGAAGAAGATTCTTGTAATGGCATTTTACTGTTATGTTTTTATATTTAAATTATAAGTGGTTCTGATGATTCTTCAGAGATAGGTTGTTACCTTAAAGCAATAAAATAAAAGAAATATAGTACTCTACTTCATATCCTTAAGGAAGAACAGATAATCCTCATTTAACAATCACAACTGAGACTGGCAACTTCATCACTAAATGATGTGGTCATTAAGCAAGTCATTACATTACTGCGACTTGCAATTTCACTGCTGGCTTTTTCATTAACTGTTTGTTGGAAGCCAGTTGTGAAGTGCACAAATGGGGATCAAGTGATTAGTAGGATGTCATAGTTTGAAGACCAGTCATAAAATAGCTTTTTCAGTGTCAATGTAACTTCAAACAGTCATTAAACAAGGCAGTCATTGACCAAGAATTTACCTGTAATAAAATTTCTGTTAAAGTTTACGTTTTATGGTGCTTATTACGTGCATGTTAAGTTAAAATTTAACTTAAAAGATAAAAGACTATTAATCTTAGTGAATGCTAGCCTTGCTGTGCACAGGAAAGCTGATCAATAAATACATTACGTCCATAAAAATATGCAAATAGATTTGATAATGAGTACAGTTAATATTTTAGAAAAATATATTTACAACTGGAACTTTTAAGTTACATTTTGGGTGTTTTGAAATTTTAATTTTTATGTAACATATTATTTATGTAACATGTGTATATTATTTTGCACATTTTAGCAAAATATAAAAGTACACTCTATTTTGCAAAGAAAAGACAGAAAAAGTAATGTTTTTCTAAGTGATTCCATTCCTGGCTACCATATGTGAAAGGTAATTATTAGGTTCGGCCCTGGTGGACTATATCCAATATATTCCTGTGGAGTAACAAAACTCCTTACTTTCCTCTTCCTACATCCTATAGGAACCTAAGGCGTTCCTTCAGAATAAATTTTATATTAATGCAAGCCAGTGATAAAAACAGTTCCATTATTATAATTAAATATATCAGCTCCCAATTAGGAAGAAAAGTGTTATTTTGGGGAAAGAAGTTTACTATATCCTTGACCTTAGCAAACTGGAAATAGCTAGGATGCTATAAATGCTATTGCTTCCAGATTGTTGAGATTTTTTTTATTGCAAGTATCAACCATAAATGTAACTGTCATAAATCTCTATGGAGATTCTCAAGCATCCAAATCTATTTGAGCTTCATGTGACCATGAAGATACCAGAATCAGATTCTAACTACATTGCTTTGTATCAGAAAAGTCTTCATGGCTACACCACTTCTAGCATAATGTAACTCCATTAAAACTGGATGAAAAGTCTGCAAGATCAAGTAATAGTAAAAGAGTAAAGCAGTGACAGAAGCTAAAGAATAGTTAAGTTTTAAACTAAGAGTGCTGATTTAGTAACACTAAAGTGATTAAAAAATCTAGGCTCCCAGAAGAATTTGGAATGATATTGAATCCCTTTTAATTACTTCTATCAATTAAATTTGTACATTCCACATCCAATTATAGCAGGCAGAACATATAGATTTAGGGCTTCAATTAATCTTTAATTCCTTTTTCAATCTAGCTCACATTGTCCTAATTCCCTGCAACAAAAACTTGGAGAAAGCTAGTAGTAGCTATATATTTAGCAGCTGTTTAAAAGAATATTATAACTCTAACAGCATTAAAAATTTATTTGGAAAAGGATAGCAGTTAAGGGCAAAGTATGAGTCAAAAACAGTGCCAGGCAAATTAATTATTTGTATAGCATGACAGAGAATTTTATATTTTCTGCTCCACATAATCACATTACAGTAAAATTAGTTTAGTACTGTATTTCTCAATCTTTTCTCAATCTTAGTTGCTCTAAATATGTTAACCAACTCACAGAATTCGCCAGCAAGCATGCTGCCTGGGGGGATTCTGGGAGTTGAAGTCCACACATCATACAATTCCTGAGGATGAGAAGCACTGGTTTGGTGTACCACTATACAAAACATAAAGTTCTAAGAAATGAAACTACAAGAAAAAAATATATTTACAAAGTTGGAAAGCCAGTTGGCTATCTAATTATTCCTATTATTGCCAGATCTTGATTACCCCATCCCAGGCACAGGTGGCAAGGAGTGATGGAAGGACGGGATGGTAGGTTGCATTCACACAGGCTTGACTATGTGCTGACATGACATGGAGAATTTGAGCTGTGCGATAGTTGTAGAAAAATACTTTGCCATCTGAACTCCCTGTCACAAGAAGTGTTCCATCAGGTGAAAACTCACAGCCTACTGCAAATCCTTCAACCTGTTTGAGTCAAGAATTAAGAGCAAATAAATCAAGATGTTAATTAAGAAATTACAATATGATAGATTAGAGCTTCCTGAAATTTTACACTATAATAAACTTGTCAATTTTTACCATAATGGCCTAATCACTTCCCTTGGTATTTAATAAGACTGCCCCATTAAAGACTTGTCATTGTTAGCAGTACTTGCTGAATATGTGACAAGCTTATCTATCTATCTATCTATCTATCTATCTATCTATCTATCTATCTATCTATCTATCTATCTATCTATCTATCATCTATCTATCTATCTATCTATCTATCATCTATCTATTATATCTGTAACCTTTCACTGGCTGAAATAGAGCACCAATTATTGAATCAAGAAACCTCAAATGGGTTAACTTACAGAATGCACCCAAAATCTGGGATGCAGGATTCCCATGGAATTGAAATTTGGTTAATTTTCTAAAATCTTTTATGAGAAATATTACCATAAATCTGTTTATGACATAATACAAAATGTTATACAATATTTTCTGTGCTGATGTTTGATTAGGCTATGCAGATCAACATAGCTATTTTCAAGGCAGTGTGTTAGAAATACTGTCACTGTTGAAGGCATTGAAGAATCTGGTAAGGAAATATCTCTGAAATAATGACCCAAGGGGTCACAAGTTGCCTAGTTCTTAACTAATAATGCTTTTAGTTATTTTACTGCAATTTAAATTCTACATTAATTAAATTACAGACAATAGTATTGAAATCTATTAAATTGTATTCTTACTGAAAAGAAGTAACATAATTTGGTATATTAAAGGAATAAAACCTGTTGATGGATGCATACCTTGTGCCCTTCAAACCTCTTCTTTTTGTTGATTCGATAAGGTGGCAAGCTGGAAAATAAAGCCATGTAGTTGCCATTTGTCTGAGCAACAAAGGCAGGCTCTTTAGGATGAACTGAAAGACTGGGGCAAGTAAAACGTTCCTGCAAAGAAAATTAGAAAGAAATGAAAATGTTCATAGATTCTGAATCAAACTATATATGATATGTCAGTCTCTGTTTGTGACCCTAAAGATTCCCCCCAAATTGACACCTTCCAAAAACAGGTTTAGAATATGATGTAGGGGTGTCAAGAAAGTTTGTGATTGTGCTTTAGATTCTGATCCAAAAAAGGGGGCGGCAGGATAAGGACTCGCTTACCATTCTTCTCCCAGGATCACATGGCAGCTCTAGAGAGCAACTGCACGATTCCAAGAAAATGCACAACTACCTTAAAGTTGTGACAAGTGCTGCACTCATGCTCCCACATGCTCCAAAACCTCTCTTCTAAATTATTTCCAAAGTGCTACACAGCCCTAATATCAATTCTCCAATATACTTTATGTATTTATTTTATTTTTAAAATGTAAAACCTCAAATCCCTCAAAACGTTTACCCTTTCCTATCCAGTGACATATCTGCATCACTAACATGCCATCTTCAACCTTTAGAGGCTGGTAAAATGCTTATTCAAACAATGTCCCAGCACAAAAAGGTAGTCTGTCTCTATTCTACTGCAACCAAATCTGAAGAATAGAACCCCATCCTACCCCTACCAAAAAAAAGAAAAAAAGAATCTGTATTTCCACCTGCCTCACTTTCCAGGTATTTCCTGAAGCTGATTATAAGCCATTTAAGATAGAAACTTCTCTTTTTATTCCCTTTGAAATACCATATATTGCTAATAATAGAGTGTACACTAAGATAAGATAAGATAAGATAAGATAAGATAAGATAAGATAAGATAAGATAAGATAAGATACTGGGACAGAAGGCAGAAATTCCTCAAAACTGGGAAGCATTGGGTATCCATTAGTTTCTGAAGGCAAGACAATGCTCTCTTGCATCCCAAGCAGCCAATCTCAACTCCAGAGAAAAATATTCTCCAAACTGATTGCAATAAATCACTTCCTAAGAGTTAATAACAAGACTAACCCTGACAGATGTTTGATTGGCAGGCATGCACCTACTTTGCTTCTCTCTGCCTTCTAATTTGTATGCTCCAAACTAATTAGGACTGACCAACTCATTTATTAAACATTCTGAAGGCTGTTCAAAATGAATTTTGTCATTAAAAACAAAATCTCTGGTCATCAGCAAAGTGAGTTCAAAGTCCTTACTCTCCTCCATTACAGAACACTGTGACCAAAAAGTTAATCAGTTGCTTGAAAAGCACAGTGAATACTGATCCATTCATTGATGAGCATCATCCTTGCTAGTTCTATTTTTTTTAAAAAAAGATTTCTTTGCAAGATCAAATCTTGGTCAGTCACTGGGACAGAGGTTTATTTTTCTGAGCTTTTGGACTTATGCTGTAGCACATCTTCAGGGAACATCTTTTCTACTGGAATATGTGCTTTGGGCTATTCTGTGAGTTGTATGTATGTGGTGCCTTCCTATTGGTTGATTAGTGTGTTGATGACTGGCAATTGGCTGTTGTTTCCTTGTGCTGCCAAACCTTCAACTCCTACCTTGTTTTCCCAAAAGTAAACCCTACTCTGGAAAGTAAGCCTCAGCTGATATTTTTGGGGGCTAATATAAGCCCTACCCCAAAAGTAAGCCTTAGCGTGGGGCGGGGCAAGTTGGCCCGTATATTCCATGCAATAGCCAGAGTGCCCACCTGCTACCAACCTGCCAGGGCCCTTCACCAATGGCCGCCAGTGGAACCGGCTACTGCTGGCCCCGCCCTCTCCATCCCACCATCTGCTTGCCTGCGGCTGCAATAAACCAAACCCTCAGCGAGCCCTGGCCTCCACCAACCCTGCTTGCTGGCCTACTGCTGCTGGGACATTTCTTGGATGCAGTGAGTGCCATGTGGCAGCCAAGTGGCTGCCCATGCTGTTCTTTGCCCTTCTGGCCACCCTGACATGGCTGCCTTGCTGGGCTGCTCCAGCCCGGCATGGGGCGAGTTGGCCCAGATCCAGAGTTCTGCCCCGCTGTCGGCCTGCCAAGGTCCTTCGCCAGCGGCCACCAGTGCAACCATTCCTTGTATGTTTTAGCCTCCAGTCCTCTAATCATCTTTGTTGCTCTTCTCTGTATTCTTTCTAGAGTCTCATCATCTTTTTTACATCGTGGTGACCAAAACTGGATGCAGTATTCCAAGTGTAGCCCTACCAAGCATTGTAAAGTGGTATTAATACTTCATGTGATCTTGATTCTATCCTTGTTAATGCAGCCTAACACTGTGTTGGCTTTTTTGGCAGCTATAGCACACTGCTGGCTCATATCTAAGTGATTGTCCACTAGGACTCCAAGATCCCTCTCACAGTTTCTACTATCACTTATACTATACCTATACATTTGGCTTTTCTTGCCTAAATGTAGAACCTTACTTTTCTCACCATTGAATTTCATTTTGTTAGATAGCACCCAATGTTCAAGTCTGTCCAGATCCTCCTGTATCTTAAGCCTATCTTCTGGAGGATTGGCTATTCCTGCTAACTTGGTGTCTTCTGCAAATTTGATAAGTTCCCCATCTGTCCCCTCGTCCAAATCATTGATGAAGATGTTGAAAAGCACTGGGCCTAGAACAGAGCCCTGGGGCACCCCACTACACACTGGGGTGTCCTGAAGTACATGACTACTGTGCTGTTTCTGCAGAAGTTCAACTGACCTTGAACTGTAGTTGAGTTTTCCACAGTCATCCTATTTTGTGATCTTTTAAGAAACACAACAAAGTTCTTTCAATTGCTTCCCAAGCAAATTGTTGTTCATGATAAATTTTTCATATATGGCAATATAGGAACCCTCAAAATAAATAAGAAAGTAAATATCTATCTCACGTGAAAAATTTGATTGGAGATCTTTGCAGCAGTTTGGAAGTCCCAGGCAATAATGGTACGATCGGCTGAATCTTGGCTTACTGCATCAGTGCTGGTAAAGAATTCTTTTCCTTCACGGAGAAACATGATGTCCAAGGTTTGTTGAATTGTGGCTTTGTAAACTTTTATAACCTATGATTTTAAAAATTCCAAAAGAGAATTTTTTTTGTTTATTCATTATATATAGACAAAGGCCACCTTATGATGATTAGGTAATCAAATAAATGTAAATTAAAAGCACTACCTCTTAGCTGGATCCCTGATGGATACTGTATAAAATGAGAGGGCTGAGCTTCTAATGTCATTCGGAGGACATGTCATATCCATATAAATATACAGGTAGTCCTTGACTTACAACAGTTCATTTAGTAATTGTTCAAAGTTATAATGGCACTGAAAAAAGTGACTTATGATAATTTTTCACACTTATGACCGTTGCAGCATTCCCATGGTCATGTGATCAAAATTTGGATGCTTGGCAACTGACATGTATTTATGACTTTCGCAGTGTCCCCAGGGTTATGTGATCATCTTTTGCAACCTTCTGACAAACAAAGTTAATGAGGAAACCAGATTATATAACAACCTTGTTACTAACATAACAACTGCAGTGATTCACTTAACTCTGGCAAGAAAGGTTGTAAAATGAGACAAAATTCTCTTAACAAGTGTTTAGCTTAAACAACAGAAATTTTGAGCTCAATTGTGGTTGTAAATCGAGGACTATCTGTATATCTATATTCTCCCTATATTCCACTAAGTCCCATTACTAACACAAGCAGATGAGTCCAAAACTGGGGCAAGATTTGGTAGTGAAAACTTATATAAGTCTCTAGAGTAACATATTTTTTAAAATTATTTATTAATTAAACAACCTTTACATTTCCTGATAGCAACTTCAATTTCCATTTAGTAGTTCTCTTTTTCCACATGGTTTTTATTCTATTAAAATGTTTATTAAACTATATGAAACATAAATTCTGAAACAGCATATTGGAATCATCATTGCCATCCTCTTCCTCCTTATCACCTATTAATACTGCTACTGCTTGCTATTAATTTCAAAGTTAACTTTTTACACTATTTAATGGATGATCTAAAAAAAGTTTTTGATGCTTCGTTTGATGTTCTCTCTCTAACCATTGATCAAATTCCTTTCAAGGAAGAAGATTGGATTTTATATAGTAGAATCTTTCTGTATGCTTTTAAAGAAAATTTCTTTAGATTTCTTGATGTTTTTATTTTACAAAGCACATATTTTTCTAACGTTATCCATTCTCTTTTTACACTTAACTTCAAAATGTCAAGCTCTCTTTAAAGAAAGACTGGTGCTTTATTGTTCATGATAAAAAGCAAAAAGGCAGGAGCCTAAGTATTGGAAAAAGTTGGTTCTACAGTAGTAAGACTGGTTGTTATCCTATAAAACACTAAGCCTGGTTGTTATGCTATAAAACAAGGGATATGTATTGTCCAGGTGTTTTTGGACTTCCAGATCCTTTATTGTTAGCCATGCTGGCTAAATATGAAAAGAACAAGCAGTGGAACTCTCATTATCACCCGATGAGTTTCCTGGACTAAGAGGGCTCTTGGTATCTGGCAAATTATTTGTTTATTTGTTTAATAAATTTGTATGGCTGCCCATTTCAAATAAATAACTTTGAGTAGCTAGTATATTAAAAATAAAAACAAACATACACAAATATAATAAATACTGTATATTGCTATCATGAAAAATCACAAGCAACCATTAGCCCAGGAGATGGGATCCCTTGGGACCTGGGAACAAGCACAGAATCAAGTCTTTAAGGCCTTTAGAAAAGGCCAGATGTTAAAGGCCAATCTAAGGCCTTTAGGCTTCAGAGATAATGTTCCAGAGGGAGGGTGCTAGTGAGGTGGGCAGGAAATAGTTCAATATATCTATATCTTAATAGGAATGCTTGTTGCTGATAATAGTTAATAGATAATATTAAGTTTGGCTGTGAAATGTAACCTAAATCATATAACCTGTGTGTCATAATTATAGAGATGTGTTCATGCTATGTAGAAACCATTTTACAAGAAGTGTCAGTGTCAACTAAAAGTCACAGATGTTGTAAGATAGCACCCGTGCAGAAAGGTGTGGTAAGACAATTATCTGGCGACCGCGGCAGGACGGCAAGGAGTCTTGGGGCTCTCTGGAGGGCACACCCTGATGCCAGGGGCCTGTAGTGTTAGGGGGAACATCCCAGGCGCCATCGGACCTTTTACTCCGAGGGACTTCCCTGTGACACAGGGCTCCAGCATTGGCGGTCGGCCACTCCAAGAACCACTGGTGAAGGGTAAGGAGACCAGGCAACTTTCCAGCCGGCTAGAGGACAAAGGATTCGCCTGCAGGCAAGTATTGAAAGGGAAATAAGGAATCCCTCCCTGTAAGCAGGGACGGAGGAGAGGACTGATCACCCTCTCTTTGGAATAAGGTGGGAGGATTGTTGTGTGTGTTTGCAGTGAGTGAGTGGCGCTCGAACTTCCCATCGGTGACCGTTGAGTTTCCGGCTCCCTGGGTCTAGCGCGTATAAGTGAAACCCTCAGTGTAATCCCGAGTGGAAGGACCCCTTACCTTCCTCTCATCCCCTTTCCTCATTTGTCTTGTCTGGTGCCCTGGGATGCTCATGGGGTGATGGTGAAATTGTACTCCTTACTCCATTGGGGTGTATGTTAAAGTATTTTAAGTCTGCTTATGAGGATCAGGATTGTGGTATTAAGTGGAGCAGGCATAAGTTGAGGATCTTCTGTGAGGTAGATTGGCCCAGCTTTAATATAGGCTGGCCAAGCACAGGGACACTAGATCCATTCATTGCTCTAAAAGTACATTAGTTAGTGTTCAATCCCATGTTAGGGCACCCAGACCAGGCACCCTATATTGATGTGTGGCTCGGCTTGTTGCAAACACCTCCACCATGGATTCAGAAATGCAAAACTGTTCCCTATGTTAAAAAGTTTAGAAGATAGAAAAAGCTGGGGACAAGCTATAATCCAACCAGATGTCCAGGATCAAGGGACCCAAACTGGACCTTCACCAAGAGGTGCTGAGGGGGTCCAAGGCAGAGGAGGAACGGATGGGACTGCAAACAGAAGACAGAGAAGTGGGAGGACTGATAGCTGAACAAACGAGGACAAAGACTGAGGAAGCATCTTTGAATGCTCCTCTTAGACAAGTAGATCAATTGGTTGTCAGTAAGGATGATCCAGCAGAAACAGCCACAGCTCCTCTATTCCAACATATGCCTTTTACTACATCAGACCTTCTTGCTTGGAAATTTAGTGGAAAAAAACAAATCAAGTGTCCGAAAGACTTTTGTGAATAGAGAGAAGGAGGAGGAAAAGAAAAAGGATCAGAAAATGCAAAGGAAAGCTGAATTGCTGGCAGTTGCTATGATGGGGGTGTCAAGGGGAGGTGGCAGAGGTAGAGGATGGGGAAGGGTGTTAGGACAAAACCAGTGTGCCATATGTAAGAAGGAAGGACACTGGAAGGGTGAATGTCCAGAAAGAGAAAAGGATGAAGAAAAAGGAGGGGGAAGAGGCAGGTTTGCGAAGAGCTACAGAGGTGGCCCAAGGAGAAGCCAGGGAGGGAGAGAAAGAAGAAGAGGATTTTCAAGGACTCCCCTCATAGGCCTGGCAGAAGCAGAGGAGTGGGACTGAGACCGACTGGGTTCAGCCCGCCTCCCAGAACCTGTGGTCAGTTTAACAGTAGGAGGCAAACCTATTCCCTTCCTTGTGAATACTGGAGCCACCCGATCAGTCCTAACCCAACCCCTAAGCCAAGCCTCCCCTCACTCTATCAACATACAAGGAGCAACAGGAAAAATATTGCAGCGACCCTTTTTGGAGCCCTTAAGTTGCACTAGGGGAGGAAAAACTATAACCCATCAGTTTGAATATATGCCAATTGTATTGGAAGGGATCTGCTTTGTAAACTAAGGGTGCAGATCTCCTTTGAAGAGGATGGCACAATGGCCATAAAATATGGAAAGGTGATGATGGAAGTACCCCGTGCAGAGGAATGGAGAATGGTGATGCTGGCACAAGCAGTAGAAGCAAATACAAAGTGGAAAGAGTTCAATATGCCACACCTGTGGGCAGAGGACAACCCCCCCCCCCGGTTTTGCAAGGCATCATCCACTATCTGCCAGCTGCCTGTACTGAAGAATAGGAAAGAGTTAAGAGGATTTTTTAGTTGCTGCTGGCTTCTGCCGAATATGGATCCCTACCTTTAGTTTAATAGCAAGATCCCTAAATGAGGCCACAAAGGGGGGGAGATAAAGAACCATTGCGATAGGAACAGCAAGAAAATAACAGCTTCACCGCTCTCAAGGAGGCTCTAATGTGTGCCCCTAGTTTAGGTCTACTAGACTTGGAAAAGTTATTTCAACTGTTTGTAGATACAAAGCAAAATGTGGCAGTAGGAGTTCTCACCCAGAAAATAGGAACCTGGCATCACCCGGTCACTTATCTGTCTAAACAGCTTGACAACGTAGCCAGAGGATGGCCGGCTTGCCTTAAAGCAAGTGCTGGAACAGCGTTATTAACACAGGAAGCTAACAAGTTGACTTTTGGACAAAAGTTAGATATCTACACACCCCATGCTCTTAAAGCTGTCTTAGAAGCAAAAGGACATTTGTGGCTGACCAACCCATGCATGCTGAAGTATCAAGCTCTAATAATACATAATCCAATGATTATATTAATTCAATCAAACTCACTGAATCCAGCCATGCTGTTGCCTGAATCAGACTTGGAAACCACACATAATTGCATACAAGCTATTGAAGAAACTTACGCTAGCCGCTCAGACATGAGAGATGTCCCCCTGCTTGATCCAGACTTTACAATATACACGGGTAGAAATAGTTTTATGCAAGAAGACATTCGAAAGGCAGGATGTGCTGTGGTGATTTTGGAGGAAGTATGGGAAGCTGAGCAACTTCCGCCCGGTACAAATGCTGAGCTAGCTGACCTGCATGCATTAACTAGAGCTTTGGAGTTGGCAAAAGGAAAGTGCATCAATATTTACACAGACTCTAAGTATGCATTCCTAACAGTGCAAGTCCATGGAGCCTTATACAAAGTAAGAGGACTTATAACTTCAGGGGGAA